ATTAGAAAGAGCGTTGTCACAAGGACATATATCCGAAGGGGATTACATTGAAGGGGACATAATAGATATTGAAGTACCTTTATAAAAAATTCCAAATTCACCTTTTCCTTTGAACACACCTCCTATATATAAATGATCAGGATGACGAGACGAGTTGAAATCCGAGTGAATGTCTGTTCGTCCGTCTGTCCGTCTGCCTATGCAAGCTGTAACTTGAGTAAAAATTTAGATATCCCAATGAAAATTGGTACACGTGAAGTTCGTAGATGAGTGTAATCGGACCCACAAAACGCCATTAGTCGAAACCCTATAAAATGTCATAACTAAGCACTAAATTAGTATATGAAATTGTAATTTGGTACAGGGTACAGCGGATCGCAGTAGCATGTAGCATCTGTGGGCTAAAATTTTGTTTAAAAGTAGGCGTGTCCCCGCCCTCTAATAAGTTTAATATACATATCTCTTAAACCACTTAGGAAAAATTTTTTTAAGAACCGCTACCGACAGTTTGAAGATGAATTAGAACCCCGCCCTCTTCCCATATAACGGTTTTGTTAAAAACGACTAAAAGCGCGATAGATCAATCAGTAAATAAACCAGAGACATTAAATTTTACACCCAGGATGATACAAGAGAGCTGCTTTTAAAATTGGACAATGGGCATGGCACCGCTCACATTTAGAGGAAAACCCATACACGGGACCTGGTGGACCGATTTCAACAAAACTCATTACGTTGCATAACATTCGTATATTTTAAAGCCAAAATGGGCGAAAACAGATTACAACCACCCCCATTATATATTTTAATCTGCCTCCAATATACCCTATTTAATGATTTCCGACTTTCCACCTGACTTTAAACCGTTTAGGTTGTTATAAAATTATATTAATGGCTTGGTGCTCAATATAAATGAAATTGGTTTTTTAATATTGCCAACACTTGGAGGTATCTCCGCGTGTTTGATCCTTGCAAGTTGCAAGAGTATAAAAATTTTTATTATTGGTTTGCTATTTAAAATCAAATGACTCCTAGAGTCAATAGCGTCATAGTATATATTTAAATGGGACACGCACGTTGATCTTGGATTATGTTTTGTCTATCTCCTAATTATTGATTAATAATAAAAAGAATGTTACGCTTATTGACATACATATATATATAAATATTTACATACCGACAACCACGCAACTATTGGACACATACATATTCACTCCCCCAATTAGATGGTTAACTGATCACAACTGTTTTTAAAGAATTTCATGACTTTTATTTTTTAATTAAAATGATTTATTCAAAAAAAAAACACATAGTAACATCGTCACGTCTGCAAAATTATTTACTAAATAGAAATAAAAACTACTTGTGATATTCCCTTTTTAATTTATCAAAAACAAAGCTGTTTTCAATATTACACTTTATATCGAAATTTGTTCTGTTATTTACATAAAATTTGATCCGTTTGTACGCTCATTGAAGCGTACAGAATATATATGCATGTATATACTTGTATGCATGCTAATATATATGTACATATATATCAATTTAGGTCTGTTAATTCATTCTAAAATATGGAGCTCCATTTCTTTTAATAAAAGTTTAGTTTTAATCAAAAACAATGCACTGTCTGGTTATAATAAAAACTAACATTAATGTTAATTTGTTGTTCAATATTTAAAAATAGTCGTTCAAACAATTTGTTTAAAATGGGTTAAGGTTATAGCGACTCAAAATTGTTACTGCGAGATGTAAAGATTGTCTCGAAGACCTTAGTATAGTTGCAAAGAGGAGACGGAAACGAAATGGTCGAAATGGTGGTTAAAGATTTGCGGAATATTTGTTTGTTTGTAGAAATGTATTGTAGTTTTGTTTTTATAAATCTCTGTCATTATTATTCACATGAGTTGTATATGATATAAACTCAATCGCCAGGTTTAATATATGTGGTATATGCAGTAAACATCAACCAAAGGATGAAAAATCCCAATTCCATTCTGGACTAATGAAAAGCATTATTTGTAGTACTATATGGAAGCTGGGGTAATTCGTCGATTTATATCGCAGGTAGTGAGCTACAAGTATAGTACGAGTATATCCAATATAATAGTTTTGCTAAGATATCTTACATATTGACCGATATATACGGAGTAATGCCAGCCGAAAATTTTAAATATATAAGGTATATGAGGGCTAGAGATATCCTTACCAGAAAAAGAGGCTTTCTGAAAATCGTTAAGAAACCTTACAGATTGACCAATATATAAAGTCGAGCGGATGTTTGGAAATATGTATGTTAAGATGAAATATATTGAGGGCATTATTTGTGCAAAGTTTTATTCTGATAACTTCATTGATGATAGAAGCAGATGTAATTTTAAAGGTTGTTATATGGAAAGTAGGTGTGGTTATCATCCGACTTCGCCCATTTTCACAATGTGTAATAGCAATGGGTAGCCACATACACCGAATTTGGTTGAAATTGGTTCAGTACTTCCTGAGATATAGGATTTCACCTAAAGGGGTGCGCTGCCACGCCCCTTGCTCAATTTTTACTCCTGCTCCTATAAAGCCTTTTCCTGCCTCCTGGTTGTGAATGAATTTAATTCTTTTGGTGCATTTATTCAATGAATTATCGCACTTTTAGTAGTTTTCAACATAACCGTTATATGGGAAGGGGGTTTGGTTATTTTTTTATTTTACCCATTTTCACGGTGTACGAAGAATTGTTAAATACTCTTTTTGTCAGAAAGTTTGGTTGCTTTAGCTTCAGCGCTTTTGAAAATATGTCTGTTAAACCATTTAAGAGGCGGGTCTACGCTCACATTTAAACAATTTTTTGCTCACAAGTGTCCCTTGATTTTACGATCTTGGTCCCCAAATTACAGCTGTGTATCTAAAGGCGGTGCCAAGAAATATATGCAGCAAGTTTCTAAATGATGTCTCAATTTTTACTCAAATTCATTTATATATACATATGTACAATATATATATATTTTGATTAGTTTTAGGTGATACAAACTATAGTTAGGTGAACAAAACTATTATACTCTCTAGCGACATATTGCAAGAGTATAAATACGGAAGAAGGGAAATTAAAACAAGTAAGGAAGGGCTAAGTTCGGATGTAACCGAACACTTTATACTCTCGCAAAGTCAAATGGTATACTTTGTTTGAGATTTCTTTATATATTTTAATAATTAGAAATAGGAACTGTTGACAAAACTATTATACTCTGAATTTTAATTATATATCTTACACATTGACCGATATTTTGTGTAAAAAGTCAACCATAGGCACTGGGGTCCACATATTCAGTACCTAGGGGCTTGAACAGTTTTGGTTCGATTTATACATACGGGACCACTCACACTTTTTAAAAACCTTTTAAACTACAGATGCCCTGCCTAATGTGATCCTGTATACCAAATAACAGTATTGTATCTTATTGTGGAGCTTGGTTATGACAATTTATTTGTTTTTGATTAATGGCGTTTTGTGGGCTTGGCAGTGGTCCGATTACGTCGATCTGCAATACCAACCGCCTTACGTGTACAAGATATCTCAATTTTTACTCAAGTTACAGTTTGCACGGACGGACAGACAGACAGAGTCAATCGGATTTCAACTCATCTCTTCATCCTGATCATTTATATATACATAACCCTATACCTAACTCGATTAGTTTTAGGTGATACAAACAACTGTTAGGTGAAAAAATCTATTATACTCTGTAGCAACATGTCGCAAGAGTATACAAATTTTAATTTTGCTTTGATGGTGATGTGGAAAATTTCTTTTATATTTACCACTTTTACCATTTGGCACATATTGTTTCAAAACATACACTTTTGCACACATTCTTTTCTCACCAAGAAGGTGCTCATTTGTCGGAACCGATATCGAACTACTATAGCATATAGCTGCCATATAAACTAAATTATCGGTTTCAAGTGCTTGCATGAAAAACTTTTTCATTTGCATTGGCTAAAGTTGTATTTAAAAGTTTACTTTTGCAGTTATCGCTTATTATTAATATGCTAAAATATATAAATATGTATATACACATATATGTATATATTATATGTATACACATATAGCAAGTCTTTGTGAGCTTTGCGTCATTCTCTCTTTCGGGTAAATTTTTTATTACAAGCATTATAACTATGCTTTACTGATTAGATTAGAACACAACATTGATAAGCATTCAAGGAAATATAATACACAATTATTTTACCTTTTACACGTCATTATCATGACTTCACATTGTTAATTTAGGGGGTGATATAATACATGCAACGCATTATATAGTTTACGTATACGTATTACTTGTATTATATTATTCAATATGTATAGAATTTTTTAGCACATCTAAAAGAAGTTATACTCTCGCAACATGTTGCAACAGAGAGTATAATAGTTTTGTTCACCTAACGGTTGTTTGTAATATTTAAAACTAATAGAGATAGATATATCTGATATAGATTATAAATATAAATGATCAGGTTGACAGACAAGTTGAACTACTGTCTGTCTGCTCATCCGCCCGTCTGTCTGTGCAAGCGATAACTACAGTAAAAATTATCTCAGGAACTACTCGACCAATTTCAACCAAATTCGATACATAACATTATCCTGACATCTCTATCTTACACTTTAAAATTGGACTACAAAAATGCCTACTACCTTATAATACTATTCACAGTATAAAAATTAAGTACCGTTGAAATCACGGAAAATAAAACTTATACTCGTCGAAATTGAATCATAATACCAAATATATCAGTCATTGTGTGGGTTTTCTTCCTAAAATTTCGTGGAAACATGTTCTGGATATTTCTTGAGTAATGTCAATCAGCCCAGACCTTCCCCCCAGCCTCAATAAAACTTTAAACAGTTTGTGTTAGTCAAAATATTGGTCTAAGCCCCATATCTCTAATATATTGATATCCGATTCTCCGCTTAGTTTGTTAGTTTTTTGTTAAAGGAAAGTAAAATATTATTTTGCTATCGGTTGCATATCGTCGTGGTAGTTTCGATTCTTAAAAGTTTATTTCTGCGACTTTACAAATAAAAATATAAAAAAATTTTCGAGGGAAAGTTGATGAGTTTATATCCCTCTTTGCATAGCCATTCCATATACAGCGTCACCAATAACCTTTTATCATGTCATGTTTCATTTTGGTACAACGCTTGGAAATTGTCCAAGATGATTACGCAAATTCACGTTCTCCGGTGGATACTGTAAGAGCTCTTCGCGTAAAACACTGTCAATTCAATGCCTCTGTACATTTTTTAATTTTTTTATCATTGTGACAATTGTTTTATATTCGCTGCCATTACACTGCCACTGCGAGTGCGTCCCACCAGAGAATGTTATGAATAAAATTGAAAGCGCTTGATAAATTTAAAATACTGAATAGAGTCTATTAAAGTTTACAACGAGTTCCGCTATTAGCTTTTATTTTATTGAAAGAAAAAAAGCAACGTTAAAATTGAACTTTACTTTTAGATTTATATCACATTATCGACTGAGAGAGACACATTAGGGTGTTAAATTACGTTTTGTAAATCCTCTTAAAATATTTATATTTTTTCATAAACTCAATAATTATGACATATTGTATTTTATTGTTATGTTTTCCCCTAAAAAAATTAAAATAAATTAAATCGTAACAATATTATAAATTAATTCCTTAACTTACATTTCAAATATGTCAGCGACTATCCTCTTGCTTCGTTTCTGATAACGAACCCAATAAAATTGGTCTCTGTGAAACCCAAAACCGATACAATTTCTGTTTCGAACGTCAAACCAATAATATCTGAATTCATGACATCTACTACATTTTTTTATTGGTTTCAATTCTGATTCCGACAACTATCAGATTCTACAACACCCCTGAATATTGGCAATTGATATTAGTAGAAAACTTAAGTTTCAATAGTGAGAGATTTATGCTAAAGAGTTCTTCACGCCATAAATGAGGAATCCGACAAGTTTATTACGAAGAGTCCCTGATGATTCATCATGGCAACCGTTTAAACAAGCGGGAAAAGTATACACGCGCCTAAAAACAAGTGCAAAACGGTACACAGAACAAGTAGCATGAGCAAGTGGAAAATAAACTCATACTAGGTAAAATTATGAATGTGCTTTGTGGTGAAAGAACTTAGCAAAAAATCAAAATATCAACAAACAAAGTGTTTGCTAACTTGTTTCATACGACATTCGTAAACAAGTATATGTAAAGATTGCAAGTGCGCATGCTTTCATTAAAATGTATATACATACATATATACATATGTATGTACTTATACCTGGGCCCTAATGCATATATGTATAGTTGCATGCATGTTTATGTACAACCCTTGGTTGTCGAGAGAATTCAATATAAGCAGAGAATGTTAACTTAATGTTGAAAACCGGCATGATACTTCAAAAATTGTCTCGCATGCGACAATTGATTGCTTTAACCAGAGAACGTATATGAATTCATATTCATATACGTTCTCTGCTTTAACATTCGTTGCGTACATTTTGCCTTTTTTGTGGGACACAAATGCGTGCATACGTACGTATATATTTTGTATGTATATGTACAAATGTTTGTACAAAGCACCATAGATATGTATGTACATATATATTGTTATTCGTTTGAAAAATCAGAAAAGTAACATTTCACAATATTCATATACACGTACATATGTATGTATGTACATAAATAAAAATGTATGTTTGTAAGCTTGTAAAAGTATGTACAATTAAAATTAAATCCACTACATATATTTTGTTATATAAATAATTTAACTATTTTAATATCCAAATTTGTAGTGTTTTACCTCAATTATATTAATATTATAATTACCTCGACATGTACAGTAGATGGAAGCTAAAAGTATAATTTTCCCTAAGTTAAAATTATTGCTTAACCATTGGGTTTATTAAAATAATAAATTCATTTAATTGATTTATTTTAAACCAACTTTATTGTTTTATATATGTACATATCTATATAGAGTACATAATTTATATACATATCCAACTTATTGTTTTCGGCTTCGAAATGATAATCAAAATCCGTTTGAACACAATCACAAGTACTCACTGTACAATTTGTATCTGTTGGTTTCAGTAAATTCCAGAAATGAAGTGACTTTGAAAATAATAAATATATATATATATTGTATAAGCAATTTATAATCCGCAGACACACTTGTGTAAGACAGGGATGGCAACGTTGTTGAGTGGTCGGACAATGTAACGAGTGCTCGTGTTGGGGTTACAGTAAGAGTAATTCTTAGTGTTGGTGAATGTGAGTAGTTAGTATTAGTGATGTTTCTGTTGCTTATACACAGCTGCTGATTGTGAATGTCAGAAGAATGTGATATATGAATTTAGTTATTTTCAGCTTTTTGTTAAAGTAACGACGATTTTTAAAGCGGAACGTATATTTTAGTACATTCCAGGATATTTTCATTAACCTTCTCTGTTGTATATTTCGTGTATTTCCCTCCAACAATCAAATATTAAATTCAATGTATTTTACTGAAAGCCAAGTACAAGTGCATAGGTATCTGAATTTGTTCACAACATATTTGCCTACATTCATACATACATATGTATGCGCTCATGCATACATTAAGCATGCGATACAAACATTCATATAAATAAAAACGTATTCCATAAAAACCTGCTTTGTGTCTGTGGTCCCAAGAAAAAATAAAAAATAAATATATGCACTTTGAAGAGATTTCGCTGAAAGGATTAAATTCGTTAAAACATCTAATATCTGTATAAAAATTTAATGGGGTATGTGTTTATTTAACACCTATATTTATGTATGTGTATAAATACACGTATGCATGTCCATACTTAGATACTTGTGATTCTTCGGTTTTATTTTGTTGTTGCGGTTCGCAGCCACTGGATCGAACAAAAGCCCAACATTCGAACAATCGTCAAATTGTTTCTTTGTGTTTTGACGCATGTGTTTGTAGAAATTAAACAACTTACGATAATACAAAGTGCAAGTTTCCACGTAAAGCGCAACAATTTAGTTTCAAGACGTTTAAATATCACTCCACACCTTAGCTAAATCGCTCCCAATCACAGTTGGTTCCGATTTTCGCGTGTTATGGTGCTGACGCAAGTAATAAGCAAACGGGGTGTGGTGCAACAGTAAAAACAACAATCTATATAGAAAAATAAAACAGAGTAGCAAATAAACGCTACAACAAATGGAATTTTGCAAGTTTTTTAATTGATATTTCGAACAATGTACCTCGACAGAATCAAAAAAGAGAATACCCAATTTTTCCACATTTAACATATTTATTTTCCCAGTAAAAAATAGGAAACATAAAAATATAAGGAAACCTGTGCTCATATACAAACGGATGAAGACATGAATGTACGTTGTACAATATTAAACAAAATTATCAGTGTACGCGTAGTTATCGATATTTTCACGCGAATTCGTTAACAACCGAGATTTCACAGTGGCGACAGTTGAACATGTGACAATTATCCACTGTCAGAAAATGTTATAAAACGAAATACAGACTTTCTTGTGCTCAAATAAATGATATCTATTTAGGATCCACTCGCCATAAAACGAAACAGTTTCAATAAATAACCATGAAGGTTAAAATTGATACTGCAAAAGCGAAAATTCCCACCATTCGTACCTCGTCAAATGCCAAAGAAGAAGTCAGTTTAGATCCCCAAGCAAATACTTTAGTTTTAAAATTGGAACGAAAGCGTAACAAAAAACCAACTCGAACTCGTCACTTCCATGTAGTGGGAGACGATGATGAAGACGATGAGCTTAAGGAAGGAGAAGCCGAAATCGAAGACGTTCGGGAAGTGGATTTTGATGAAAACACGTCGGGTCAAAATTCGTTTGATATTTTGCCAGCTTTATCAGCGCTGACATCAACGACACCAACAACAACAACGGCCACCCGAAATAATCTTATCGTAAGTCTACAACAGCAATAATCCAAACCAATATCTACAGTAACAAATAATTACTACAAATATTAAATTCAACCTCATACAATTTTACTTTATGAATAACTATATACTTATGTTTTTAAATATATTTCTTAACTACGTATTTACATTACATATTTATTTACTCTTAACAGATCTTCGGAACAGGATTTTTTCATATACTTGTATACATATTAGACATTTCATAAAGAAATTTTCTCTTTATATGATTATTCATGTAATTAAATACGTCTTTGCTTGAACACTAACTAAACTTCGCACTGAATCTGCCTATGCATGCATAAATATATATATAATATTGAAGTATCTGCATATATAGTTACTAAAGAGCTAAGAGACCATGGTGGTCCAGTATACATACTTGTGTATTCCCGAAGAGCTTTCAGCTCTATTAACTACTTAATTTTAAATGACTATATAAGTATGTGTTAATATTAATCCAATTTATTAATATATACATACATACATATGCATGTACTTATGTACGTACAAACCTATATGGCGAAGCCGATCGTTAGATATGCACGTATAATACTTAATTAATTATTGTGTTCCTTTGTTTACTACGCTCTTTCTCACAGGTTCATATGTGGAGGGTGTAGGAATAGATATGTGAGAAACATTAAAAATAAATTTAAAAATACAATATGTTTAGAAATAAAATTGTATATTATTTTTAAAAGCAAAAACAACCTTATTTCGAGTCTTGCATAAAAACTTTAAATTTTTTACGAACCCTGGTTTGTACCAGATATAATAATAAAATTAATAGTGCACATTTCTTTAGTTTACTCATAATTCTTCCATTGCATTTTATACAAATGTATTGAAGTTAAACGTCAAATGCGATTAACATTGGATCATATGTATAACAAATTCATAATAGTAGAAATTCTTCGATACGCTTGCAGGTTCAGGCAGTTGGAATATTAAATTTTGATAAATATAGTATAAAAACCTAAAATAAATTCCCACATATGATCTGTCAATTGGATTTCAATATTATAATATTACACATGTTATGAATTCTCCTACTGCCAATTAATAATCGTTGTGTACTACTTGTAGGTATGGGAACACATACACATACATGCGTTCTTTAGCAATTGTTAAGCCGTCATTAGTCGTTCGAAGAGTCGAAAGAGGGAGAATGAATTAAACGAACAACGCAAAAGTATCTGTACCTTTAACTGTTTTGACTTGTATTTTGATTGCTACATTCTTTAACTATTACTTTATTCTTTCATTTCGGTTTTTCTCTAGTTCTCTTGCTGAGACTTTTTTGTTTTGCGTATTTGGTAAATATAAATTAATTTTATAAGCTTTAACACATTTATACACACATCTAAGAAAACTTTAAAAAGGTGTATAGTTGTCTCTATCTTTCATTCTGATTTTCAGCAATGAAAGTAAGGCATTTAACCAATTTCAAAATATAGCTTGCTACAACATCACAAGAAATGATGATTATAATGAATTTACCTGTTTTTGTAAAAGAATGTTAATATAATTATTATATGCTCACATTTTTTGAAATTGCTTATCGATTTTCATATTAACTGGTCAGAATTTTAACAACAGCGAGTTCAATGTCAATTTATTACATTAGCTAACACATGAGAATATCGGTCGTTCCGGTTACTTATTACCATATAAGTATAATGCTCAATCTCATATATTATGTAGGTCCCTATTTTTGAGTAATGGGATGAGTTTAATTATATTGTATATATCGGGTAGTAAGACAAATATCTCAATACAATGGAACATTTCGCCTAGTGGTGTTTTCATGGTCGAAATCAATGGAATTCAGGAAATTAAATAATGAGAACTTGGTTTCTGTAATACATGTTATATAATGTTTTTTATTCTTTTTTTTTACTAGACAGCTTCAGAATTATTTAAGTTAAAACTTTGCAAATCATTTATATACATAAGTAGCACTCACACTATGCAAATCTATTTTCGGCAATTAATTACTTGAACGAGAAAAGGACTTTTAAGAACACCTTTCGGGTGAAAAGAGAAAAAGAGTTTTCAACAGCTGAATGTTTTCTGCCAACAACTAGTGGATTATTTTTGAAACATTTGTTGATTGCGTTGTACTACATAAGATGATACATTTTCTTAAATATATTATATCTAATTAGTTTTTTTATGTGGATATTTGTGCACATTAAGCGTTGGAGAGAAATGTTAATACGTCAAGCAGGTTTTAACCGGCTCTGCTTTCTCGCTTTTGGCAGTTCTCG